TCATTGTGAAGATCTTTGGTGTCTTTGGTCAGATTTATTCCAACATATTTTAATTTTTTTGCAGCAATTGTGAATGGGAGCTTTCCCTTGTATTCTTTCTCCAATTGCTTGTTATTTGTATATAGAAAGGCTACTGATATTTGTAGATTGATTTTATAACTTATAACTGATTGATCAGTTCTAGGATTTTTCTGGTGCAATTTTCAGGATCTATTAGTTATAGCATCATATCATCTGCAGAAAGTGATAGTTTGATCTCTTCTTTTCCAATTAGTACTCCCTTAATTTCCTTCTCCTGTCTTATTGCTCTAGCAAGCGTTTCCAGCACTATGTTGAAAAGGAGTGGAGATAGTGGACAGCCTTGTCTTGTTCCTGATTGTAATGGGAATGCTTCCAGTTTTTCTCCATGTAGAATGATGTTGGCTGTGAGTTTGTTGTATGTAGCTTTAATTATGTTAAGGGATGTTCCCTCCAGTCCAATTCCCTCTAGGACTTTGAACATAAATGCATGCTGAATTTTGTCAAAAGGCTTTTCTGCATCCATTGAGATGACAATGTGGTTTTTGTCTTTGAGTCCATTTATATGATTAATGACGTTTATTGACCTGCATATATTGAACCATCCCTGCATCTCTGGGATAAAGCCCACTTGATCATCGTGAATGATCTTTCTGATGTGTGTCTGTATACGGTTTGCAGGTATTTTCTTGAGAATTTTCGCATCTATGTTCATTAAGGATATGGGTCTATAGTTTTCTTTTTTGGTTGTGTCTTTACCCAGTTTGGGTATTAGAGTGATGCTGGATATTCTGGATCTTTTTATTGTCTGTTGTGAGGTTTCCCCTCTCATCTCTGATTTTGTTGATTTGGAGTTGGTTTGCTCACTCTTTCAGTTAACTGGGCTAAGGGTCTGTCTGTCTTGTTTAGCTTTTCAAAGAACCAGCTCTTACATTCATTTATTCTGTGTATTCTTTGTTTCTATTTTATTAGTTTCTTCTGATTTTTGTTATTTCTTCTCTTCTGCTGGGTTTGAGTTTCATTTGTTCTTGCCTTTCCAGTGCCTTGAGTTGCAGTGTTAGGTCCTTCTAATTTTTTTAATGTAGTGCCCTTCTTTAACTGCTCCATAGCTTGTAGGTAAAGTTTGCAGATGAAATGTTGTCTCACAAAAAGGGAGGATGATGAGGCATTGATAGAAAGGTTGACTGTCACTTGCCAAATGGGAAGTGGATAACGGGGGTGGGAATCATGAGACTAGTTTTGTCCATGTTTGAAATTTTTACAATAAAGCCAACCAATAAAGTCTATAATAAAAATTTTAATAACATAGGAAAATATTTGTAACTGCCAACCACTTACAAGACTGCAATACTTTTTAGGTGAAACGGATCTGAATGATGCAATAACAGAAGCTGGGAAGACTTATGAGGAGATTGCCAGTCTTGTGGCAGAACAGGTACTCACATAATCACATGGGCCCAGTTAGACTTTTTGTTTTCCAATCCATATTTTTAATATAAAGCCCCTTTTTATTTTTATTGAATTTTTGTGTATTTTATACAGAAAATCTTTAAAAATTTTTTTCATATATTATTTATTATTTTTATGTGTATGTGTGTATTGCCTACATGTAGGTAAGTGCACCTATTGTTGTGCAGTGCCCACAGAGGACGGAAGAGGCTGTCGGATCCTCTGGAACTGGAGTTACAGACAGTTGTTAACTACCATGTGGGTGTTGGGATTCGAACCCAGGTCTTCTGCAAGAACAACCAGTGTTCTTAACCACTGAGCCATCTCTCCAGCCCCATACAGAACATCTTAATCATCTTTATACCCCCTTCCCCATCGGCACCCTCATATAGCCTACCCCCACTAGAATTCATATAGTCTGTCATGTGTTAAGGCCTATCAGGTCAAGTTAGTGTCCCCAGACGTCCCTCAATGCAAGTTCATCCACTGGGGTCTAGGCAGCCTATCTAGAGTCCCTCTCTTTAAGATCAGCTCTTCCTCACCCAGAAGTAATCAGCTGCCAATAATTCTTCGACTAAGATTGAGTAAATCCCTTTTTTTAATGTTTTTTGTTGTTGTTGTTGTTGTTGTTGTTTGGTTTTGTTTTGTTTTTGAGACTAGGTGTCCCTGTAACCCCAGCCAGTCTGGAACTTGCTATGTGTTTTTTTTTTGTTGTTGTTGTTGTTTGGTTGGGGGTTTTGTTTTGTTTTGTTTTTTTTGAGACTAGGTGTCCCTGTAACCCCAGCCAGTCTGGAACTTGCTATGTTGACCAGACTGGCCTCCATCTCACAGAGCTCTCCTTGCCTCTGCCTCCTGAGTGCTGGAATTAAAGGCATGCACTACTACACCAGGCTATAAAGCCCATTTTAAGACAAATCCACATAGATACTGCTTTCTGTTTCTGTGTGCTTTTATCAATTGTATTTAGTGATAATGTTTCTTAGGTTAAGCCAAAGTGGACAAACGTGTCATCAAGAAATCTAAATGAGCCGGGCGTGGTGGCGCACGCCTTTAATCCCAGAACTTGGGAGGCAGAGGCAGGTGGATCTCTGTGAGTTCAAGGCCAGCCTGGTCTACATAGTGAGTTCCAGGACAGCTGGGGCTACAGGGAGACCCTGTCTCAAAAAGATCAAAACAAAAGAAAAAGAGTCTAAATGATGCCGGCCATAGTGGCGCACAGCTCTGACCCCAGGACTTGGGAGAGTGGAGCAAGGGGATTTCCGTGAATTCAAGGCTAGCCTGTGCTGTATAGTTCCAAGCTGGTCTAAGTTATAGAAATGTTTTATTTCAAATGACTTAGATTGCCATTTCAGCACTTGTGAGAGTCTGAGTTTGATCCCCAGCATCAGTGAAGAGGGGAGGGGGAGAGGGAGAAGAAAGGAGGGTTGGAATGCCTTCTGGCATTGATGCCTCTGATCCACCCTTAGCCACTAGGGAATTCTAATGTGTGGGAAAACCTGACTCAGATCTCGCAGTGCTGCCCAGCCTCTCTAGCCTTGTATTCCGAGTCTCTTAAGTAGCCCCATAGTGCCTGCCTTGGATGAGCCCCCAGGTTTTGGATAATATGTTTATATTTTCTGTTAAAATGTAGGCCTTAAACTGTGACAGCAGTTTTGCTTGTATATTTCAATGTCTACATTTTATATTTAATCCCTACATTTTATCGAAAACATAAAAAATATTATCTACGGGGCTGGAGAGATGGCTCAGCAGTTAAGAGCACTGACTGCTCTTGCAGAGGACCTGGGTTCAATTCCCAGCACCCACATTGTGGCTACAAACCACTTAATTCCAGTTCCAAGGGGAATCTAACACCCTGTTCTGACCTCTGTGGCGTTGGACAACATGGGTGCACTCACAAACATGTAGGCAATATACTCATACACAGAATAAAAAGATTTTTTAATTATCTAAACATTTTTAAAATTATCTAAAAGCATACAGTAGCAAATAAAAAAAATTTCCCAACTCACAAAGTGTTTTGGACTATCTCAAAACACCTAATTTAACAAATCAATCTCAAAATAATTTGATATTTATTATTTTCCATACAAGATTTGTTTTTTCTTAGGAAAACCAATCCTAAATGCTTAACACTCTGTTTTAGTTTTCTTTCTGTTGCTGGGATAAAGCACTGCATCCTGGGGGAGGAAGCAGTTATCTGGCTCAGACATCCAGGTCCATCATTGAGGAAGGTCAGGGCAGGAACTCAAGCAGGAACATGGAGGAAAAACAATGGGCGCACCCTCTGGCTCCCTCTCTAGCTCATGCTTTCTTATACAACCCAGGCCCACAGTGGGCTGGACCTTCCTACATCAGTTAGTAGTCAAGTGTCCTTCAGACATGCCTACAAGCCAGTCTGATCCAGGCAGTTCTTCAGCTGAGGCTCCGTCTTCCCAGGTTGTGTCAGGTTGACAATAAAAACAACCAGCACGCTCTGTCACTCAGTACGGCGCACAGAGAATCTGGTTAATACACTCCTCACTAGTTCCTTTCCTTGGTTTTCTAAATTCCTCCACCAGTAACAGCCAGCCTGTGTCTTGTTGCAGCCAAAGAAGGACCTCCACTTCCTGATGGAGTGCAATCATGAGTACAAAGGCTTTCTTGGGTGCTTCCCGGACATTATTGGTGCTCACAAGGTAAGGGCCACAGAGTCGGGGAAAGCACACAGCCTTGTTTAGATACCCATCATTACTGGTGACTCTGGTTGGCATTTCCTCTTAAAATCCATGTGGTACCTTAATCTTAACTTGCATGTGGCACTCTAGTGTCATGGGATGTCCTTGGGTTTGTTGGGAAACCTCTGCAGAGGGCCGATCTGTGATCTTAATGCTAGCATGTGGCTCTTTTAGTATTTTGCTTTATACAGAATCATGAAAAGGAAGCATAGGTAAATAAGCTTTGTATAACTTCAGATAACTTAATATAAAACTCACAACAGTACCTTCTTACAGGAATTTATGCTAGCAGAGTTGGAGTTTTAGGCATGGAACACAGTTTTTACATAGAAAGTGGAATTTTTCTCTCCAGACAACTGTAAATAATCAGCTGTGTGGTGACACTGGAATGGGGAATGTCGGGCTGCTTCTACAGCTACGTCCATCTGCGGTTGAATTTATGCTGATGCAGCAGTTTTGTAAACCAGCTAAAGTTAAGCCTTACAGTGGGCACACTTGGGCACCGGCTTATAAAATGCTGTTTCTAACAAGAGAGGACAGGTGACATGTGCAAGCCACACTATACCTAATTAATGGCTTTCTGAACTGCTCCCGCCCGTTCTGTGTGCTGCTAGCATCCCAGCAGTTTAGCCTGCACTGGAGGCAGCACCAGCACAATGCTTGCTTTTCTCTCCTTGGAATGTAAAGCTGCACATTTTAGCTTTGCTACATTTTTCAAGAAGAGCAATCTTTTCTGGAAGGAAATTGAAGTGAGATGCTTTTCTCATTCTTACCTGCTACACTGTTCTCTTCAGCACCAAGTCACTAAGAATATGTTTGTGAAATGGCAAAACTGGCTCTGTTTTATTCTAGCTGACATTTGCCCACCCTTTTCTGCCCTGCTCCCACCGCCCACTTGCTAACTACAGCCCACCAGGCGGATCGGCCGTGCAGGCTGAACCTATAGTTTCAGGGGTGCTTTGTTTCTACAATACCGGGAAACATACAAATAGCCAGGTAGCACATCCTCCACCAGCCTCTCCATTGTTTAACTGAAAACTTTGTTAACTGACCTGCCTCTGGTCTGATGTAGCTATGGTTGTCTGATGTAACTGTGGTTATTAGCTTTACCCCTGGCATGATGTAATTGTGGTTTTAGGCTTTATAAACGCTATCCTTCTCCTTCTTCCTCGATGTCAAGAGTCCTTTTGAGTATTATCCCCCTCTCAACCACTAGCGGTTATTAAAGGACTTTTGATTTGACCATCGCTATGTGGCATTCCTCTGTGCCTCATGGTATTACATTATCTGGAGGCCCCAGCAAGAGCACCACTCAAGGGGCTCAGTCTCACTCTGGCTCTCCCTGGCATGGTGAATTGTTACAAAACAAGCATCCTTTGAGACATTCCAGGGCCCTGTTACTCTCAACCAGTGCTGGAGAGTCCAAGAATAACTGCTGCATGACCCCAACACCAAAACTGCCATCACATGTGGCATTCTTCTGTGCCTTGTATTACATTAGCATTATTAGATTTTAAACTACTAATCCTTTTTTGCTCTGTCTTGTTAATACTGTTGTGTTTTCATCTTTCACAGGGAGCAATAGAAAAAGTTAAAGAAAGTGATAAGCTAGTTGCAACTAGTAAAATCACCCCTCAAGACAAGCAGACCATGATACAGCGAGTCGGCACCATGTCCTACGCTTTGCAAGGTAAGAAAAAAGGTTATGAACACCTGGACTTGTGGCTGTCAATGACAACTTGATTAAACCTGTGCATTTTATTACTTCTCAGAGACATTGAAGACTCCTTTTGTAGCCTTTAAAAAAAATATTTTAGCTGGGTGTGATGGCGTACACCTTTAATCCTAGCACTTGGGAGGCAGAGGCAGGTGGATCTCTGTGAGTTCAAGGCCAGCCTGGTCTACATAGTGAGTTCTAGGACAGGTGGGGCTATGGGGAGACCCTGTCTCAAAAAACTAAAAAAAAAATTTTTTTAATTTTATTATTTTTATGTGTATGCATGTATTGCCTGCATGTAGGTAAGTGCACCCATGTTGTGCAGTGCCCACAAAGGACAGAAGAGGCTGTCAGATTCCCTGGAACTGGAGTTACTGACAGTTATTAGCTGCCATGTGGGTGCTGGGATTCAAACCCAGGTCTTCTGCAAGAACAGTCAGTGTTCTTAACCTCTGAGCCATCTCTCCAGCCCCTTCCTTTTGTAGCCTTTAATGTCATAATGTTCTATTACATTTCAAAGTTTAGCTGCTAGCAGTCAGTAACTTCCATGTTCCAGGACTGGGGAATCTAAAGGCAGCTTGGAGAAGTCATTTTAGGTACAATTTACTGTTAGCTAAAAGATAAAAGTTAGGGGCTAGAGAGATAGCTCAGTGGTTATGAACATTTGATGCTTTTGCAGAAGATCCAGGTTCAGTTCCCAAAATTCACATGTTGGCTAACAACTATCCATCACTCTAGTTCTGGTAGATCTGATGCCCCCTTCTGGCCTCTGCAGGCACCGCACACATGGGTGCACTTACATTTGTGCAGGCAAAGCAATCATACACTATATACATTAAATAAAAGTCAGGCATGGTGACACACACCTTTAATCCCAGTGTTCAGGAGGCAGAGGCAGAAGGATCTCTGTCAGATGGAGGCTAGCCTTCTCTACATTAGGAGTTCCAGGCCAGCTGGGGCTGTAGAGAGACACTGTCTCAAAAGAAAAAAAAAAGAGCTAATTTAAGCCCATATGTGATTTAAATGGACTGTGGAGCCCTCATTAAACAAAATTGCTGGAAGAGAACTTAGAGAACTAAAAGCATCATATGTCCTTCAAGCTACACTGGGACAACACCCTTTGTAACTCCAGTTCCAGGGAATCCCACAGCCTCTTCTGGCCTCCATGGGCACCATACACACATGGTAGGTATACTTACATAGGTGTAGGCAAAACACTCATACACATTAAAAATAAAATACTGTTTTAAAAAGAAACAAAGTTGATGTCTAGAGATTGAGTGTGTTGGACAGGAGCAGCAGGTGGCTGTCTCTGTGTTTTGGTGGTGCCTGGGCAGACAGGAAGGACGGCCACAGTGTTCAGTAAGTTGACCAATGACAGCCGTCCATTTACTGGAAAGTGGTGCCTGCTGCTCACTTCAGCCTGTTTTCTACCTGCTTCATGGAGTGTTGCTGAGAACTGGCACTGCACGGAAGCCAGTCTGATTAAGTCCTGTGGAAGATGAGTCTTTACCACGCAGAGACATCACATGTTGCCATCTGAAATCTGGTGGGGGCAAAACTGATCTCTGTGTTTGTTCTGTTGTAGCGGAGATGAATCACTTCCATAGTAACCGGATCTACGATTACAACAGTGTCATCCGCCTCTACCTGGAGCAGCAAGTGCAGTTCTATGAAACAGTGAGTGGCTCCCTTTCCATGCCTTTTGCACAGATGTGAGGAGAGGAGGGTTTGTGGTTAATAACTGTCTTGGTCTATAGGTAATCTGTTTGTAATCTTTAAATATTTTATTTTTTTTAATGTGTATGAGTGTACTGCCTGCTTGTAGGTAAGTGTACCTGTGTTGTGCAATACCCTAGAAGGACAGAAGAGGTTGTCAGATCCCCTGGAACTGGAGTTAACGGACAGTTGTTAGCTGTCATGTGGGTGCTGGGATTCGAACCTGGGTCTTCTACAAGAACAGTCAGTGTTCTTAACTGCTGAGCCATCTCTCCAGCCCCCTGTTTGTAATCTTTAATCCTAAGTAGTAAACCAAAGGAGGCTAAATTTGGAAGAAAATTTATCTGCCTCCTCTTCTTTGAAGAATGAGCATTGGCTGCTAGTGTTGACGCCTCAGGAGGTCCTGGGTGTGGCTTCCCCTCCTTCTCAGCTGTCTGTGCAGAGACAGTGCTGAATGAGATGAGCTCACCCTGCCCCCAGAGGCTCCATCCTCTCAGCCAGAGAAGGAAACCAAAGGAAGCCTTTGTTTGTGACCGTGGTTTTCAGAGTTACCAAGGGGTCTCTTCAGGAAAATCAAAATGACACAATATTCTAAATATTTTCATTCAGAAAACCACGATGAAAAAGTGAATCCTTTCATTCCGCTGCCTTGTAATGTTTTTTATTAGCACAGTGTATCAAAAACAGAGCTTTCCATGTAAATGGAACTCAGCCATCTGAGGAGCAGCTCTGTAGCTTTGGAGTGAGCACCTGAGGCTGCCTCGTCTCCCTCATCCGTAGTATTACCTACCTCCCGTGTGTTCAGGAATGATGGTAGCCCAGGCCTTGATCACATCCCTGTACATGTCATCTTTGGGCTGTGCTCTGCCAAAACCCTGGTGTGTTCTTGAAAAGGAGCCATGGTTCTTGTTTAATACATATTTGTGAATTATGTGTTGGCAGCTTTTGGTTTGGGAGCCAAGTTATGGGAAGAACTCATCTAAGCACACTTGGGATCTGTGTCCTTTAACTGCACACGTCCTTATAAATTGCTGTCATTGGGCCTTTGCCTTTCAGCATATTTTAGAATATAGTAGGTTACATTTTGTCTCTGAGAAAATACTGGGCAACACTTGAAATTCTGATAATAAGCCAGGTGTGGTGATTAATCCTAGCACTTAAGAGGCAGCAGCAGGTGGATCTCTGTGTGTCAAGGCCAGCCTGGTCTGTGTAGCAAGTTCTACGACAGCCAGGGATACACAGTGAGACTGAAGAAGGAGGAGAAGGAGAAGGAGGGGGAGGGGGAGGAGAGGAAGAGAGGAAGGAAGGAAGGAAGGAAGGAAGGAAGGAAGGAAGGAAGGAGAGAGAGGGAGGAAGGGAGGAAGGGAGGAAGGAAGGAAGGAAGGAAGAGAGGAAGGAAGGAAGGAAGGAAGGAAGGAAGGAAGGAAGGAAGGAAGGAAGGAAGGAAGGAAGGAGGAAATTCTGATAATGTTGATTTGCTAGTTTTCAAGTCCATATGTGGTATAATTATTGACGTTGTAATTAAAAATAGAAAATCATATGCATTTCAGCACTGTCTTTGCATAAATATAAGTGACGAATATAACGGCCCCAGGTTTTATATTAATGGAGTCTTATAGCAAAGTACCCCTTAAATTATTAAAATTTACATTTCTTCTTGTGGAACAAGTATGAGTGCATACTGCGTGTTTAGCAGGTGTGTCTACCCCAGATGTTTGGGATCCCAGGACAAGGCATCTGAGTCTATAAGGGGCTCCTGGTGTGCTTATGGGGCATGTAGAGCTGCAGGGCACCCGTGGCTCTGTCACAGAGGTGCAGACTGTCCACACACCACACAGAGCAGAGCAGGACGTGACCTCCCAGGGGGGGTCTTCATGGCAAAGTATTTAACAAGTTCATAATGTGTAACTCAAAAAAGCGGTAAAGGATAGAATGCTGTGAAGTTATAATCCATGTTAGATCTCAGAAGGGCTCTGTTTTTCACCAGATTGCAGAAAAGCTGAGGCAGGCCCTCAGCCGCTTTCCAGTCATGTAGAACAGAACGGAACATGAAGAAAACGCCCGAGTGCTTCCTTCTGACTTGGGACAACACAACTCAGAGTTATTTTTCCCTATCGTACAAGAGAGAGAAGAAGGAAGAAAACCAAAAAGAAATGAGTGGGAAAAGCGTTTTCTCTCTTAACCAGCCTGAACGCACTGCTTTGGGGTGGTCCCCTTTGCTTCATCTTGATACTCATTAGTTTCTCAATGGAAAAATGTCTATTTTTGGAAAACACTTAAATTTATCAAGATTTTGAATGGAGAATTAGGGGTTCCTCCTTCTGGTATTTTACATAGATCGTAATTTATACATTACCCATGATCTTCCAGTTCTTACCCAATGTCAGATAATTAGTTACTAATTGCTTTCTTAAAAATACAAGATATGCCAGAATAAAAATATATGTTTGTATATTTTTATAACTTTTCCAGTCCTTTGGGGTCCTGTCTGTTTAGGGAGTCTGCATACCCTTCACTGCTGTAGCTACAATTCAAGTGCTCGCATTTGAGGAGGGGGGAAGCAAAGGGGATTCCCAAACTGCCTAAACCCCGAGGTGTGTGGCGGCAAGGCCGTGGCATGTCCCATTTGCTGGGTGCGGCAGATGAGCACATCCTGCCTTTCCACTGCTGCCTGCACAGTCATTTCCCTGTGCGGCTTGTGTGGAGGTCGGCACTCTCTTTGCATTCCTTCCTAATTCCAGGTAAGGCACGTTTTATGCTAGAAATAAGTCAGAAAAGTTGAGGGTTTTTTAACTTCCCTGCCTTTGTCCCCTCCACCCCAGGGGGTAGATCCTGTTCCTCTGCCCAGGAAGACCTGGGGTAAAGAACAGTCAGCCTCCTCCAGAACTTCCAACCCTTCCACTCTTGGTCCTCAGATGTCCATCAGATGGAAGGAGGTGCTGCAAGCTGTCTGATCTGAAGCAGAGGGCTGGTCTGTGTTCTCTGAAAAGATGGAAACCTGAGTTAAGCACCTGATTGTCCCAGCAAATGGGAAAACTCAGGAACCAAGACAGGTGGTAGCTTGAAGGTTGAGCAGCAGTAAGCTGACGAGTACAGGATGACACCGTGTGACTGTCCTGACCTTCAGAGGTCCTGATGCATCCGCTGGTGGCACGGTGCACAGCAGGGTCTCAGCCAGCTGTTGGCTTGAAGTCTGACCACACTCATGCTGCCTTCCTCCTGGACAGTAGCCCCCTCCACAGGTGCCTTACAGCCTGATCCACTGCTTTTGTTTTTCTGACCTGATGATTCTATTGTAGAGAATGGGAAGTCTGGGCAAGCATAAATAAATGAAACCAAAAAATAAATAGCTGAGAAAAATCAAACACAAGGATGAGAACTTGTTCAGTATCACGGGTTTTTGTTAATATTTTATAAGTAATTTTCCCCACTTGATTTTTCTTTTATAAAATCCCATAGAACAGTGTTTATGATACAGCCATTTAATATATGTACAAATTGTAAAGAATATGTATATTTTACATAAATGTAAGAGCATGTAGACACCAATATATAAATAAATTGTTTTTAAAAACTGTACAGTAAATTCTCAAAGCACTGTTCCAAACTGGTTTTGGTATTTTTGTGTGAATGAGGTTTTGTTGCAAATTGCTTTTTAATTCCAGCTGCCAAAAGTTGTTCAAGTAATGAATTTTTCTCTAAACATTAATTCTGACATTAATAACTTAGGCTCCTTAGCCCAGAAGTTCCGGAAGCATATCACAATCACCTGAGAGCTGAAAGAAACCAATTCCAATGCCCTGTACCCACTTCCCAGCTGTTCTAAGGAAAGAGGAGTCTAAGAGGAGCTGATAAGATGGGGCACAGAGTGACGGCAGCAGACGGTGAGTGGAGAAAGTAGAGAGACCATGAATGGAAATCAGACAGTTCAGCAGAGGCTGGTCCTTGGAAGAGTGTCCTTCAGGTGGCCCAGTGTAAATGATGTGTAGATGCCCTCCTCTAAGGTGGACCTTTTATGTTGATGGTGGATTTTTAATTATGTCAACTTTTAGATACACAGATGAACTGCAATAGTACAGTAGCTTTAGAAAATCCTGGCAGGGAATGAATCACATATATTTGGAGCAAGGAAAAGAGCTTGGTCTTGTCCAGCAGAGTGGCTGCCTGCCTCCAGGGATTTGTGGCTCAGTCATGTTGGATGAAACAAAGTTCCCACACTGTGGACACAGCATCACCAGCTGTACTCGTGGGCACTGGTACTTGATGGCCGAGAGGTACTAGGACCCTGTTTCTTCCCTTTGGGGGAACAATTCGAGCACTGGCCCATGTGAGCCAGGCCCAGGCAGAAGTGCATATCACACTGACAATCAGCCCAGTATAGACCGGGAGGCTCCTTTCCCCGTGTAAGGAAGTATTCTTTCACAGGCCATAGGTGAACCCCCCCCCCCCAACATGACCAGTCTATGTCTTCATGGAAGAAATCAATAGATCCTGCCTAAAGGTGGGACTCCAAAACATTGTGTTGTGTAAAGTAGTAAAACTATAAAAATTCTTAAAAGAAAACAGGGTAAAGCTTCATGATGGGCCTTCTCAGCATCATGCTAGGTGGCATGTAGTCACAAAAGGACTACAGCTATCTGGTTCCACTTAGGTATGTAGAGGTCACAGACAGAAGAGTGGGCAGAGCTAGGGAGGGAGAAATGGGGGTGAAACTTTGGTGGGCTCAGGTTCACTTTGAGGTAACAGGTTTGCTAAAAAATTATGGAGTGGGACCAGTGCAGCTCTTAGCATAAAACCCACTTGGTCTCCTACTAAGGATCTTGTCAGACGCCCTCTAACAGCATGTCTTTGGGCTCTGGCTGGAACAGCATGTTCTAGTTCCAGGCCTGTGTGAGTTGTGGAATCATGGCCTATAAATTTTCAGGGCTGGTAACGGAGGCCTCACCTTTCTTCATGTGAATGTATATAGCAGCAATCAGCCAAAGCATCTCTAGGGGACTCTGCTCTTCTGCAGATCCCAGGCCACAGGATGTCAGCAGAGCCCTCAAGTGGGCTTGCTGCCTTGTGTTAAAGGCCAAGAGAGCTCAGCTGCCTTTTGAGGACACTACAGCAGTGTCTGTCTGTGAGGTTGGACCCCGAAAGACACCAAACCTTGAAATTCCCATTCTCCAGAACGCTGAGAAATTAAATGTATGCTGTTTTGCAGAGGCTCACATTATGGTTTGTTGTTAGAAGAGCATGAATGAACTTACACAGCCTCTCTGTCCCTCCCTCTTGCTCTCTCAACTGTTTTGTTTTGTGCTCTGCCCTGAAAATGTAGGCCACCTTGGCATCCCTAACTCCAATTTCCTCCAGCTGAAAAGACCACCAAGTTCTGTTTGCCCTTCCCTAGACCAGTCCAGAAGCCTGGCAGTCACTCGGAGCCAGTGTGAATCCCATATGTCTCAATGACCGAAGTCCTTAGTATCTGATGTCTGAAAGTACTGTTCACATATTGTTTGAAATCTTTGTTTAAGGAGGGGTAGAAGGTGAATTGACCTCCCATTACTCTTCATAGATAAAGTAGAAAGTCCATCTAAAGAGGCAATAGTTTTTCCATTCTCAGACTATCTTTTTTACAAATATTTTATTTATAAATTTGATCCCTGGAACTGGAGTTACCGATGGTTGTTAGCCGCCATGTGGGGGCTGGGAATCAAACCCAGGTCCTCTGCAAGAGCAGCCAGTGCTCTTAACCACTGAGCCATTTCTCCAGCCCCACAGATTATATCTTGACACACAATCCTGTTTGATTTTTATGTTATGTATACAACTGTTTGACCTGCTTGTAAGTGTGTCCGTGTCATACAATGCCTATGGAGACCAGAAGAAGGTGTTGGATCCCCTGGAACTGGAGTTACCCAGGTCCTCTGCAAGAACAGTCAGTTTTAAGCACTGAGCCATCTCTCCAGCCTCCCTCGTTTCCTTATGTTCCTGAAATTAGGCATGACTCCTGGCCTTGGTCGGAGAAGCAGTTGAGGACATGTTGCCAGTGCCCTTGTCTCTGTCTGGCTCTCTTCTTCCCGTGGTAAGAGTGGGTTAAGTGTTGACATAAAAGGACTGAAAACTGAAGAGATTTACACTCTGAAGACTGTACCAACACGGGGAAGAAATGGCAATTTGAGCAACAAAAAAGCTACGCTGCCAGCCCTGTGATTGGATTAGTTAGTGATGTAGGAGAAACTGTCCTCGGCCCTGGTTAGTATGCCCTCTTCATTGAACTAGTCACAGAGTAGTCTCAGCCTGACCCTAACAGTATATTGGCCCAATGAAGCCTGGAGCATTGGAAATGTTCCACATGGAAAACTTCAGTCTACCCTGACATGACAAACGGGAGGAGGTGAAACAAAACAAATTTCCAGAAGCAGACAAGCTTCATGAGAAGAGTGTGTCACTTTGAGCCAGATCAGCTCTGGATTGTATTTCAGAAGGAACTAGTCTTCAGTCCATATACGTCTATCCTGGGGGTGTTTTTAACCCAACCAGAACAGAGTGTGGACCAACACAAAACTATAAAACCTCAGATTCTTTTTTTTCTTTTCTTTTTTTTCTTTTCAATTTTTTTAGTAACTCAATTGCTAGGTTCTCCTGAACTTTGTAGATGATGTCATGTCATGTCATCAAACAAACATGCTCTCACTGTACACATGTTTCATGGTGGTGGGAGACTTCTGAATGTTATCTTCCAAACACAGTCAAACTGATACCATCAGATGTTACAGTGACTTAGTGAAATACAATGATTATCAATGCTTTAACCTATCATTGCAAATGATGAGCATTTAATGTTATTTAGAAGATGAGTATTTTTGATTGATTGTTAAGGGTAGTTGTTTAGTCATGCCTCACATACCGCCCACTGCTGGCCCTCAGCTTTACACAGCCCTGGCAGCTGAGATGTGTATGGGTACAAATCTTTTTATTTTCCTGTCAGTTTTCATAATAAAAGTGAAATGGTGCCTTATCTGTTGTTATTTTAATGCCAGCTTCTACAATGCCTCGAAAGAAAACAATCCAAAACCAAAAAGTTACAGGTGAGGGTAGATTGTTCCAGAAGTGGACACACAATTTACTTTTTTTTTTTTTTTTGTCAAGGCAAATAGTAAGGCACTCTGCTTAATTTGCAGAGAATTTGTGCAGGTCTTCGAAGGATCTGCCGCCAAGTCTGTGAGTTGAGGACTGTGCCATAAGGACAGAACAGCAGAAGTGAGAAGGTCTGTCTTCTCAGCCAAACCATTTTAAAGAAGTACACCTCAACAGGTTGGAGACATGGCTCTGTGCTCAAGAGCACTGGCCACTCTTGCAGAGGACTTGGGTTCAGTTCCCAGCACCCACATGGTGGCTAACAGCCATCCATAACTCCAGTTCCAGGAGATCCAAAACCCTCTTCTGGCCTCCCTCAGGCACTGCATGACACGGGTGCACTTATATGCCAGCAATACACTCATACACGTAAAATAAAAATAATGTTTTTAAAAGGAATTACATCTCTATCTGGGTGTGGTGTTACACACCTGTAATCCCACCCTGCACTCAGCAGGCAGAAGCAGGCAGATCTCTGTGAGATCAAGGCCAGCTGGAGCTACAGGGAGACCCTGTTCAAAAACACACAAAAAAATTATACTTCAAATAGATTCATTCTGTTTCTATTGTGAAAGCTAGTTATGTGATAACATAATATCCAAAACTTTACTAGTGATCAGGGTCTCATCTGACGATAGCAGAATTGAAGAAACTGCAAAGTCTGTAAAGGAGGTTCAGAGAGTAGAGCCGTTCATTTTCAATGTTGTGCTCTGGCAATGGATGACAGAACTGATGCTGTATGTGTGGCTCAACTTGCCGTTTTATACATAACACCACTGAAGAAATGGCGTCTTTAGTGCTGATAAAAGATTTACACTAAGGGGTCTGGAGAGATGGCTCACTGGTTAAGAACACTGGCTGTTCTTGCAAAAGACCCTGGTTCGAATCCCAGCACCCACATGGCAGCTAACAATTGTTGGAAACTCCAGTTTCAGGGGATCCAGCGGCCTCTTCTGTCCTCCGTGGGCATTGCATGACACAGGTGCACTTACCTACATGCAGGCAATACACGCATAAATACATAAAATAAAAATTAAAAAAATAAAATATTTTTTTTAAAAATTTACACTAAAGGCTAGAGAGATGGCTCAGCGGTTATGAACACTGTTCTTGCAGAAGACCCGGGTTCAAATCCCAGCACCCACATGACAGCTAACAACTGTCCGTAACTCCAGTTCCAGGGGATCCAACAGCCTCTTCTGTCCTCCGCAGCCATTGCACGACATGGGTTCACTTACCTACATGCAGGTATAACATTCACACACATAAAAATAATGAATAAAATATTTTTTAAAAAAATATTTACACTAGTAAAAAATGTTCAAGTGATTTTCTTTGTCCACCGTGAACACATCTGATGCGTTTACTGCTCGTGCCCTGGCAGATGTAGGTAAAAGAGAGGGACTTGTAAAACTAATAGAAGATGATGTCATTGCTGCCCCAGATTCATGTTTAACAAAGAGTCATTGCATAGTACATC